CAGATCCTATGTTGGACCTCTTCTGACATAAGGATTTTTTTTTTATTCATAAACAAAAATACTTTATTTTATATAACCTAAAATAGATAACAAAACCATCAGGTGAGTTCATATTTATGTTTTTCTCTTTTAAAACTGTAGGATAATTACAAGTAACCCACCCATCTCTTTTCCTGCCCAAAATAAATAAGAGCTGGGGAACATGCAAGTGGCAGCAAAATTGGATCAGAAAGAGTTTTAATATTCGCTGTCATCAAATGGATTGTAAATCTTCACCTGTGGAAACCATTCTTAGCCAGCTATATAAAAGCATGCAGGGGGCTGCATCTGGCCCACAAGCTGTAGTTTGCTGGCACCTAAATCAAAAAGCAATGAGGGTTTAGTGCCTGTACTCAGCAGCTAGAGCACCAGCCACATACACTGGAACTGGCAGGTTCGAACCCAGCCCCAGCCTGCCAAACAATGACAACTGCAGCCAAACCAGGCATCTATAGTCCCAGCTACTTGGGAGGTTGAGGCAAGAGAATCACTTAAGCCCAAGACTTTGAGGTTGCTGTGAGCTGTGACACCACCGCCCTCTACCAAGGGTGACATAGTGAGACTCTGTCTCAAATAATAATAATAATAATAATGAAGCAATTTTTAGGTTTTTTCCTAAAATGAGAGGGTTCAAAAAAAGTGAGGTATAAACAACTCTTCTTCAAAATATTACATGGCTCTCTTCATTGTGAGCAAAGCAATATCTTTGAAGATTCTATTTCCCTTTTGGAAACTTTATTCCTCCTCAAAGACCATAATGGAGTTTGGAATTGTGCTGAGAACCCTGAGGAGGTGGCTGCAGCATGGCATCCAGGCCAGTGCAAAAGGAAAGAGGGTGTCCAGGGGGTGTCCACATGGAGGGCCAGCCTGCCGACCCAGGGAGCAGTCACAATCAGTGTCCAGGTTTAAAGTATGCACTGTGCTGCTATACAAGAGTTCTGGTTTTTTCCTGTATACAGTCCCCTTCCATCACTCCCAAGCCTTCAGTTAACTTTTATGAAAGTCCACATCCTGATCTTGGCTGTGCTGAGTAATTAAAGGAAAATCCTGGGGCAATGAGAATCAGAGGAAAGTCCGATTCAATGTGGCAAGCCAGTGTCTCACTCACAATAGTAGAGTAGTCTGGACAGAGACTGGGTGACAAGTAAACCCAACCACAGATTGGTGGAACAAGTATCCCATTGCCTCAAGATACTCAAAGGATTGGAGAGGGGAATCCAAGAAAAAATGCAGATCTACTTGGGGAAAGCTAGAACTACTGTTATTTAGACATTGACAAGAAGAGCAAACAGACTTTCACACATGTGAAGTAACACATAAAGAAGACCATTCACTACTATGCTTGAAATAAAGACAGGTTAGAAACAACCCAAATATACATTAAGAGTGGACTCATTAAATAAGTTCTGTAGCAACCACACAATAGGATAAAAACTGGGAGAAACAAATGTAAAAAGAAGGGGATCGCTCTCTCCGCGGTTTGGGGGAATGCAGAAACAGAGCAGAGGGATGGCAGGACTGGGAGCAAGAGTTTTCACCAAGATTTTTGTTTAATCGTATTTAATATTATCTATTTGAAACATTGAATTAAATCTTTGAATTAAGTTAAAAGCTGGGTAATCTGGGCCTCACACTACAGGTATTTTCATCACATAAATTCAGCAGGTTTACATTTAGCGAATGTAAATTCAAAGTATCGCCCCACAAACTACCTATAAATTACAAATAGAAAAGGTGCTTTGACAACCAAAAAATCAGCGGGTTCCCCTTAACCCAGGGATAAAATCTAGCTTCACGGAAGACAAAACAAACTAATGACATGACAGGCTCCTGAAGAGGGAGGTACACAGCCTCGTGCCTGGAGAGTCCCGCTAGAACACATAACCTGAAAATAAGAAAAAAGAACTAGATAATTCTAAATTGTGGGATATTCTACAGGATAACTGGCCTAGATTCTTCAAAAATACCAGTGTCACAAAAGTAAAACAATAATCAGAAGGCCTATCCTATATTAAAGGTGACCAAAGAGACAGGACAACCAGTGCAGTGGGTGGGCCTTACCTGGCCAGATTTAATGGGAGGGAAGAGCTGCACAGGACATTTTTAGGAAAACTAGAGAAATTCTAGCTTTGGAAAAATCTAGAACTGGCTTGTACATGAGATGATTTTAATATACAACATCTTATGTCGATGGATATGGAGGTGAACATGCTGTCAAGAAGAGCAGATAGAAGTATTTAAGGTGAAAGTATTTAAGGTAAAATATCATGATGTCTAAACTCACTGTCAAATGACTCAGAAAAAAAAAAGTCCTTGAGTAATGAAGAAAATTTCATAAAATATTGTTAATTGGCTAAAACCTGAAGGACATATGAGTACCTACTATCCTTGCAAAATTTTCATAGGTTTGAGATTTTTTTTTAATAAAAAGTTAGAAGGACGTTACTGTTAATAATAAAAAAGGCATTCGGTAGTTTTCCTAGAAAGTCTTTCTTAAGGTTGAAATAGAAAAAGTAACACATCAAGTTCCACGGGTGTCTAATTCATACAAAACACCACCATCCCATTCAGAAGGGAGTCCTGTGTTTTATATCATCCAGAGAAGACAATTGTGTCTGCAGAGGACAGAATCTGAAAGGCAATTCTCCCCATCACTGCTGGTGCAGAACACTGAAGTAAAGAATTTAGTTTTCCAGGCTGAGGGCTTAATCGTGTACCAATCAGGGCATGCTCCACCGTATTTGTCTTAACAGAACAATTTTCTGGTCTGCAAGGTTTCATTGACTTGTGTGTGTTTTCTGGGAAAACAAATGCTTCCCGAGCTTTATGGTGCTTCAGACGGAAGAAAAACTGCCAAGCCATCTGGCATCACAGGTGAAGAATACCAGGGATGCCCATGTGGCAGCATGAGAAAAAGCAGAATTCCAGAGAGCTGGAAAGCAATGCCTTCTCTCTAATGTCTCTCCTGAAAACACCTCTGACCTAGAAAAGGCCGATCAGATCGTACTACTATGGGGGAAAGCACTCAGAAAGTACTTACTTCTTTATATAACACTAGGTTCATTGACAACTTGCTTCTATCTTAGGAGGCCAACATCATTTTTAAGCCACGAAAGTTTCTTCATTATTAACAGAATGGTGTTGAGGCCAAACTCTTGCTTTTATTCTGATGGTGCCCCGTTATTTTAAGAGAGAGATAAACAGAGCTGTGATCTTACCGACAGCAGCGGCCGTCTTTGATGTGGGAAGGTTGGTGCAGTCCCCAATCCCAAACACGTTTGGGTACTTCTTGTGCTGCAGAGTTTCTTTATCCACATCCACCCAGCCAGCAGCATCAGCCACAGGACTGGTCTTGAGGACATCTGGTGGACTCATCGGTGGTGTGACGTGAAGCATTCCATACTACGCACAAGAAAAACGTCTAGGTTTGCATTTTTCAGTATTTCTACAGCCCATAAACTCTCCCCCCTTCCCTGCTCCACACACTATACTATGCCTCCTTGAACATTATATGATCAGTGTTTCTACTAACCCACCCCCACTCCAAGATCTTACACATTCCTGTGGAGGATGGTGGTAAACTCAATAACCTCAGTGATCTCACCAGACAGGGGCCATGTCATCCCCGGGGCAGTGCGCCTAACGAAATCTGAGATGCTAGAGTAACCTCGAAGAACCCATTGATGTTTCTAGAAGTATTAATACTGAAATAAGGGAGTGGTGTATTTCAGTTGCTGTCTCCCTGACCCTTCACTGCCAACTTGTGAAGCCTGGCACTTCAGTTATATTCTGTAAGGAGGTGCTCGGCATCCCCGAAACGTGTAAAGGCTGTTAGGAGCTGGTAAGTGAGCATCAATCCCAAACATGTACCAACTCTCAAAACACGTAAACTGTCAAAACACCAATTTAAGAAAAAGAAAAAGAAAAAAAACGAGGTGAGAAAAGCACGAGGTACAACCTTGGGAAAGGAGAGAGGAATCTGATTCCGTTCTGGGTTTACTGGGCAGTAAAAGAGTGGGGGGGATTTTTTTTTTTCAAAACACTATATCAAAGTTGGAAAGAGTGCACTGATCCATCCTAATCATTCTGAGGGCTTGTTGAGGATTTTTGTTTGGTTATATGATATTATTCTACTTTTTATAGTTCATTCTTTTTATTCTTTTTCATTTTGATGAAATCCAGCTAACAAATCCCATTTCCTAGTGGGTTCCCTGGAGGACACATTGACATGGATATTCATATCACATTTCATTAGGATAAAACTTCAGTGTTTTAAGACCATTTCAACTTTGTGATACCCAATAGCACCTCGTTTCCATAAGGACGCCAATACCCTCATCTGGGCTCAGCAATCACTGATGGCAATGGGAATTAGGAAGTTGACTTGTATTTATTCCAACGCTCTGACAGGGATTAACCTTAAGGTACTTCAGATAATCGGGGCTCCTCTGCAGGTTAATATTGGGAGGCTCTTTGGATCAATCAACGAAAGTGGAAAACAAATAAAAGAATAAAATGTTGTATCCATCCTAAACTTGCTAAGTTGATGACTGTTCTGTGGTTATGTAAAAGAATACTACCTTAAGAAATTCACACTAAAGTATGTAGGGGACATTATGTATAATGTATGGGACTTACCTTTAGCAAAATCAGAGAAAGAAAGAGACAGAGACAGAGAGAGCTCAAATGATAAAGCTAAAGTGAATGGTAAAACCATTCACTATAACCAAATGATAAAGCTCAAATGATAAAGCTAAAGTGAATGGTAAAATCCTATAACCAAATCAAGATAAGGGCTATATTCGATTTTCTTTGTACTACAGTCATCTCTATCTGATGGAGTTAAGGTGCTCAAGTGAATTTCACAAGTACACATGAATTCTACACATCTTTTCCAAAGGGAAAGTTACATATTTTCACATAATCATTATAAAGGTATGGAGTTTTACTCACACTAGCATGCTACACAAAAGAAATGCTGGGGTGTGCTTTAGGGATTTATTAAAAATTAACATTGGCACTGAGTTGCTGCTTGTTCTTTATCTATTATTTATTTCTTTAAACCATTTATGATCAATAACTGGGTTCTCCTTCATTGAAATAAACAATTCATGTAGAGAAGTGATTTTCAAACTTGGGGTTTCTAAGCAGCATTTGGGAAACTTTTAAGCACAGGCTCCCCGGTGCTCAAACACCACCGGACGTCCAGTAGGTCTGGGTGAAGCACAGTCATCTCCACTTGAACAAAACCTGTCAGTGATTCTGACACTCGAAGCCTGTGCATCACATTCTTAGAAGCCCTGGCTTGAGGGAACAGATTCATTTACAATGAAATACAGAGTGCTGCTACCTGGACCAGTCACTGTGCCTCTCAGGTCCTTGGTTAGCTTATCCATAAAGATCACATCAGACTAGATAATCTCCAGTTCCTTCTAGCTCTAGAACTCTATCATATTAAACAAGTTTAGATTTTTAAAAACTTACAAGACTTGGACCAATTCACTATATAAACTCTCTATTAAGGATCCAAGATTATAGACTTTGAGCTACATTTAATTCTTTATAGTAGCTGTTCTGAATCCTATTTTAACCTTACAGTCATTAGGGGAATTTGTGAAATTCCCTATCATCAGTCCATCCCCCAGACTAACTAGCCAAATCTCTGGGGGTGAGACCCAGTATAAGCACATTTTAAAATCTTCCCAGGTGATTCCTGAGAAACCAAGTTAAACAACAAAGTTAAGTTCTTCACTCAGGCTCATACACTTTGCTCATAAGCGTATCCTTGGGCCCTCAGTCATAGCCCATTCACTTTTGCTTTATACAGAACTTAGCAAGTTTGGCTGTCTCATTTTCCAGCCAATAAAAAGTAAGGAGCAGCGATTTAAGTAAGCTGAAGCTGGAAGGACCTCCAAAGTCACTTGCATCTGCCTGACATCCAGGAAAAAAGGAAAACTGAACAACTACACAAAGAACACGCATAAACACAAAGAACGGAGTAGTTTGAGACCCTTTGGTAAAATGGAAACTAGCCCTAAACAACCCAGTAGGTTCCAAGCACATGACTAGAGAGGAGCTATTCAGAATGATAAGCCTGAGCCACACAGGTGGTACCAGAAGGAAGCAAGTGATCAAACACATGATACGCATGTCACAGGGGCTCAGGACCAGCTAGGAAGGTCACCTACTGGTCAAATCCAAGACAACTGGAGCACCAATTAAGAACAGTAATGAGGCTCGATGCCTGTAGTTCAAGAGGCTAAGGCGCCAGCCACATACACCTGAGCTGGCAGGTTCGAATCCAGCCCAGGCCTGCCAAACAACGACAACTACATCCAAAAAATAGCCAGGTGTTGTGGTAGGCACAACAAGTAGTCCCAGCTACTTGGGAGGCTGAAGCAAGAGAATCGCTTGAGCCCAGGAGTTGGAGGTTGCTGTGAGCTGTGATGCTACACCACTCTACCCAGGGTGACAGCTAGAGGCACTGTCTAAAAAAAAAAAAGAAAGAACAGTAATGAATGATAAACCATTGGGGGGAATAGGAACTCAAGAACTCATACCAATAATTAATTAAGAGAAAAAGAAACGCTCGTGCTGACAGAATGCCAAGAGCCTACTGGTAGATGTGGAGGAAATGCTAGAGTTAGAAAACCATTTTACAACCACATGGTAAAGATTAGAATAGACAAGTTTCATCTTTCATCAATAGATGCCAACTCTATGGGAAACTTTAATGAGGAGACTGTTTGCCTGGTTTTGAAGTGTCTCCTTACAGGAGAAAAATAATAGTACTCATGTGGTAGAGAAATTGGACCATATCTTAAGTGGTTATCAACATTAAGATCATCAGTTTAGGACAGGTGAACACTGTATGAGGCGAATCTGATACCCTAGAAAACACACCACTACCCAGGCAAAGTTCCAGTCTAAAAAGCAGAGCCTCAAACCAATCATAAGCCAACATAGATAAGCTCAAAAG